CTAGAAAAAAGTCAGAACAGGGCAATTTTCAAATGTTCATATGAGAGTCCTGACAAGGGCTTCCAAAAGCATTCCTCATTTTTCTTTTGTCTTCCAAGGCTGGACTCTAGAGTGATGGGTTTAGGATTTGCTTTCAGATATTTTGATAACTGTTGGAGTGATTAGAATCAGTGTCAGTTCCCTCTCAAAGGCTTCTAGATACGGGGAGAAAACAAATTTATCCATTATTTTAGAATAGCTGGTTGTCTCCTTTAGCTACAGGTGGGCACTACAATATTGGAGACCAAGATTTGAAGTCTTATATCTGAGCAGCACTTTCTGGTTAGGAACAAAATCATCAATGAGAAATAATTGTCTAAATAACTTTTTATAGTCTTAAGCCTAATGTCTGGGACATGTAATCCCTTGAACGTTTAAAGAAATATATTGATGACTTTACTCTTTGGTTATACTTTCCTTTTGGGCGTTTAAGAACATACAGTTGGCCCAAATAAATCAATTTATTTTTACACTTAAAGTCATTTGAGGGTCTGTTCCTCAGGGGTCACATGGGCTTGGGAGGAGCTCCTGGCTCCTTTTACCAGTTCCATCTATGTGAAGATAAGTCAAAGGTCCTGCTCGACCATGTCTGGCTTCACTTGGAAGCATGAATGAGATGTTTCCTCTGAGTTGACCCTCCTCTTTGTAGACTGGACACTGGTTCAAGTCCATCTCATGGGGTCTCCATGTCCTCCCTGAACAAGAAGACAGGTGACTCACCACAGTTAGAGGATATTTTGAGAGATGTTCCATAGTCCCCTGGAACTTAGTTGACCTTGGAGGGCAAGGGGCAAAAACTGTCCTTTAAGTCCCTCGGACCACATTAGTATAGGCCTCAAAGTATGGCTGTTAAACATCCAAAAAGGTTAGTTCTACCAGTCTGGTACTTTTGATTACCATGTGCTATGTAGATAAGGCTGGGTAAAAAAACAAATATTCTCAGATAAACCTTGACTAGATACATATTTTGTTCCTTAAACTAGTTGACTAAACTATGACCATAGAAATTTTAAGATTATGTATATATTATTTTTGTCTCATGCTTTATATATCATAACAAACCTAAACAGATCTTCATCACTTGCTTAGGTTGTGGTCTTTTTGAGACAGGGTCTCCCATAGCTCCTCAGAGATCTGCCTGCCTCTGCCTCCGGAGTGCTAGGATTAAAGGTGTGTGCCATCACCCTCAGCGGATGAGCTAGGTCTTTTTTTTTTTTTTGGTCTTTTTGAGACAGGGTCTCCCTGTAGCCCCAGCTGTCCTGGAACTCACTACGTAGACCAGACTGGTCTTGAACTCACAGAGATCCGCCTGCCTCTGCCTCCCAAGTGCTGGAATTAAAGGTGTGTGCCACCACACCCGGCGAGCTAGGTCTTTTTAAGAAATATTTATTATTTTTATTTTATGTGTATTGACTATATTGCCTGCATGTAAGTATGTGCATCCATGTCGTGCAGTGCCCACAGAAGTCAAAAGAGGGTGTCAGATCACCTGGAACTAGAGTTAAGGATGACTCTTAGCCACTTGGGTGCTGGGAACTAAACCTGGGTCCTCCAGTGCTGCTGAGCCATCTCTCTAGCCCTTGAGCGAGGTCTTGAAGGGGCAAGTATGAGTTTTCCAGAGGTATTTTATTTCCTAGAAATAGGTTGTAAATGCTGGTTTTGTTTGTTTTTAGTTGTGGTAAAATATACATAACATGCAACTTATTTAAAAATGTACAATTCTGTGCCATAAGAGCATCTGCACTATTGTGCAGTCATCGTCACTATCCATGTCTGGAACTTTGGTAGTACTGAGCATTGAATCCAGGGCCTCATGCATTCTGGGCAAGTGCAACACCATAGAGCTACCTATGAGCCTTAATTTCCTGAGTATTAGCATTATAGGTATGCACCACCAAACCCAGCTCAGACAGGAATTCTGTGTGTGTGTATATGGTGGGTACTGAGTGTCTTGAAATCTTCCTGTCTCAGCCTCCAAGTAGTTGAGATTATCAGCTTATGCTACATTTTGCTGATTTGTTTTTTTTTTCTTTCAGAACTGTTTCTGTTGTTTTTTTTCCAGAACTGTTTTTTTTCCAGAACTGTAGTTGTCCCTAACTAAAGCTGTAGAATGTTTATAAGTAGAAAAATAACATGGTTAGGAAATAGGTCAAACTGTATTGACACTCAGAAGACAGCTTCTAGTTACCCAAATGAAAGATGGCAAGTTCCAAATCAGCCAGTGAAGAAAGCAGAAGTGGGGAACAGATTGAGGAGATAAGAGAATTAGCAGGATTTGGGAGATGAAGGAAGGAAAGAGTTGATGAGGAGTTTCTAGCTGTGTGGTGGCATCATGGGAGTAGGTGGCTAGGACTGACAAGCTGCCTTTATGATAGGTGGAATACCTGTGGGCCATGGGCCACTCATTGGAATTATCTGGTGTCTGTGGGGTCAGTGCCTTACTTCCATGAGTACACACTTTAAGGGAGCACTGAGACCCTCAGGAAGCAAGATAACTGACACTTTGGTGCCACATTTTATTTGTTGTATATGGGTGCTCACTGCTACAGTGCATATGTGGAGGTCAGAAGACAACTTGTGGGAGTAGGCTCTTAACTTCCACCATGTGGGTCCTAGCGCTTGAATTCAGGCCATCAGACGTGGCAGCTAACACCTTAACCTACTGAGCCACCTTGCCAGCTCTAAAAAAATTTTTGGTCTTTTTGAGACAGGGTCTCCCTCTAGCCTCGCTATGTAGACCAGGTTACACAGAGCTTCCCCCTGCCTCTGCTTTCCGAGTGCTGGAACTATGGCATGTGCTACCACGCCTGGCTCCAGCCCTACAAATTTTAAAGAAAGAAATTTTTTGAGACATGTTTTTGTTGTAGCCCAGGCTGGCCTTGAGCTCTCTGGTTAGTTCAAACTGGTCTCAAATTCAAGATACTGCCTCAATTTCCTGAATACTAGCATTATAGGTGTACACCACCAAACCCAGCCCAGACAGGAACTCTGTGTGTATGTACACACAGAAGTGTGTATGAATATACACATATGCTTGCCCATTCATGCTGCAAGTGTAGGAGGCCAGAGGTGGGCATTGAGTGTCTTTATCAATCTCCACTACATTTTTTGAGATGGGGTTTCTCACCCTGAGGCTTGGTGTTTTGGCTCGACTGGCTAGCCACAAAGCCTTTGGGACACCCCCCCCCCAAAAAAAAATCCACCTAGAATTATAGGTATGAACCACCATACGCAGCATTTATTTTATTTATATTTTATGTGTATGAGTGTATTGCCAGCATATATGTAAGTGTGCTGCATATGTGGAATGCCCCACAGAGGCCAGAAGAGGGTGTTGGATCCCCTGGAACTGGAGTTGTTGATGGTTGTTAGCTGTCATGTGGGTACTGGGAACTGAATCTGAGTCTTGTACAAGAGTAGCCAGTGCTCTTAACTACTAAGCCATCCCTTTAGCCCCTTTTTTCTTTTGCCTTATTTTTTTTTCCTTTTTTTCTTTTGAGACAAGTTCTCCCTGTAGTCCCAGCTGACCTGGAACACACAGTGATCCTCCTGCCTCTGCCTCCCAAGTGCTGTTTTGCCTCAGTCCTTAATATGACTATATGGACCTATAACTTATAGAAAAGTTGAGAGTGGACCAAGTTTATCAAGATGTAAACTGTATAATTGGGCTTAAAGGTGATAGTGTAATCCCTGGGACATGGATGAGATTCCAGGACTGTGTATATAAAGAACTTTCCTTGACCTGACCCATCAGAGCAGGGAAAGTCTACAAAGGAATATTTGAGATGTGGAAAGACTAGGTAGTGACTGTCTCACTGAGCTGGGGTTTCAGATGATACATAGGAGTCCTTGGAGTCAAATGCCTTAGAGATTGGAGGGAAGTAAACAGAAAATTAGTAAAATTTGTAACTTTGATAGATAATAATGAAGCACAAATCTATTAAGATGCTGATAGGGCAGTTGGAGGATATGTAATGCTAAGGAAAGTTAAAAATTGAAAAATAAACTGTCTTTTGGGACTTTCTCCAGCTTAGAAAGTTCTTTATGTTTTTTTTCAATTTGATCCTCAGAAGCAGAAACCACACTGCCGGGGCATGGCTCCCAATGGTTTACCCAATTACATCATGGCTCCTGTTTGGAAGTGCCTCCACCTCACCAAGGACCTGTGAGATTTGGGCATGGGCTGAGGGCAGATGGGTGGAGGAGGAATGTAGGGACCATCTAGAAAGAAAAGCATTTGCTTATGGGTAGAGTATGGTGATGGCATTCATTACTAAAAGATACTGTCCAAACACAAGTGCTCCAGAACTCTTTAATTAGAAGGAAATGAAATGGAAGTTCTGTTTCTCAGTTGCATTGACCACATTTCAAGTGCTAGCAGCTGGCATATTATAACAGACCACAGCCTTATTCCCACCCTCGCAGAAAGCGCTGTTAGTGCTGCTGTAGAGTCGCTCTCCTTTTCCACTGATGATGCTTCTGTTTCTCTATAGCCGAGAACAGCAGCATTCGTTCTGGGAGTTTGCTGAATGGATTCCTGTAGCCTGGAAGTGGCACTTGTTATCTGAACTGTAAGTTGACATATCTGAAACTGTAATACTTTTCTGTTGCTCTGATAAAATACCCCGATAAAAGCTCTTAAGGGAGAAAGGGTTTATTTTGGCTCACAGTTTGATGGCATGATGGCACAGTCCATCATGGTAGGAAGTCCTGGCAGCAGGACCTTGAGGCAGCTGGTCACTGTGCCTCTAGTCAGGAAACAGAACAGTGGATGCTTGTGCTCAGCCAGCTTTCTCTTGTGTAGTCCAGGACCTAAGCTGGTGGAATGATACTGCCTCCATTAGGGTTAATCTTCCCACTTTAGTTAACTAACCAGGAAAATCACTTACAAGCATGTTCAAAGGCTAATCTAGGTAAATCCTCACAGATGTGCCCAAAGTCTTTTCTAATGGATAATTCTATGGCCTGTCAAGTTGACAGTATTAACCATCACAAAATCCTAGGAGTGACAAAAGAGGCTTTTTTTGCAAGGGGGGCGGGTGTCTTTTTTGAAGCAGGTCTCGCTATAGCACCAGCTGGCCTGGAATTCGATATGTAGACTAGGCTGGCCTTGACCTCACAAAGATCCTCCTGCCTCTGCCTCCTGAGTGCTGGGATTAAAGGCGAGTGCCTAGCCTGACAAAGGACTCTCAAGTGTATAGTAGGAATTCTGGGATGGTAAAACTCTTCCAAATTCAAGCTGTTATTTTTGCCTTCCCACAGTGAAGCAGCTCCCTACCTGCCCCAGGAGGAGAAGTCTCCACTGTTCTCTGTACATCGTGAAGGGATTCCTGAGGATGGCACAATCTACCGAATAAACAGGTAAAGATTACAGCGCAGAAGGCTAGGCATGGTGGCATATACCTTTAATCCCAGCACTCAGGAAGCAAAGGCAGGAGGATCTATATGAGATCTAGGCCAGCCTGGTCTATGTAGGGAGTTCAGGCCAGCTGAGGCTATAGGGAGACCCTGTCTCAAAAAGCAAAACAAAAAAAAATTATAGCTCAGCCTTTTTTTCTGATTGTGCGAGAGAGAAATGGAAAAATGAACTTTAGGAGGCATAGCAGATTAGCCCTGTCCCCTCCTGAAGGCTGATCCTGGCTCGTCCTAAGGATAGAATCCCAGCTGTAGTTGGCCAGTCTTCTCTTAATTTGCAGTGCTCATTGCTTCCTACAAGCTGAACTGTGGGAAGCTAGAGTGACTTGGGCAAGTCAGTTACAAGATGACATGTACTGAGCCTGAAGAAACTCCTCTCATCTTTGAAGATGAGCTAGAGTTCATCTCTGAGAAGGCCAGGAGGGAGATAAAAGTCATAGCAGAGCACTGTCCCTACCTGTAGAATGTTCTTGATGTTCAGGCCCTTACATAAGCCAGGTCATATTCATTCTAGCAGAGCTTCCATTTTGTCTTCCTTGTCTTTTACTAACCTCTTTGTTACCCCATCTTTGACTTTCTCTAGATTTAGCTCAATCACAGCACATCCAGAGCGCTGGGATGTGTCCTTCTTCACAGGAGGACCACTCTGGGCTCTGGACTGGTGCCCAGTGCCTGAAGGGTCAGCAGCCTCACAGTATGTGGCCCTTTTCTCCAGCCCTGACATGAATGAGACACACCCACTGAGCCAGCTTCATTCAGGCCCTGGGCTGCTGCAGCTCTGGGGCCTTGGGACATTGCAGCAAGAAAGCTGGTGAGGTGGGGCTGGGACACTGCCACAGGCAGGTGGGTGAGGGAGAAACAAGGCTGGGGAAGGGCTTGCATTGGACTAAGACAAGGAGAATGGAGCTCCAGTAGTCCTAGGCATTTCCTACCTACTCTCTTTACATGCTTTCTCTCTCCAGTCCTGGCAACAGGGCCCACTTTGTCTATGGGATTGCTTGTGACAATGGCTGTATCTGGGACCTCAAGTTCTGCCCCAGCGGAGCGTGGGAGCATCCAGAAACTCTTCGGAAGGTACTTCAAGTTGACTGTAGGCTGGTCCTGGGCATTCTTTGTTGGAGGAATAAAGGTTGGCATGTGGTGGATGGAATTTTTCCAGCAACTCTGTGTCATATTTTCAGGGACCAGAACATCAGAGGTTTTCTGAGAGGCACCTGAAGGCAGCAAGCCTTAACAAGTATCTACTTTCACTTTCTAGGCTCCTCTCTTGCCCCGGTTGGGTCTCTTGGCTCTTGCCTGCTCAGATGGGAAGGTGCTGTTATTCAGTCTGCCACATCCTGAAGCCCTGTTGGCTCAGCAGCCCCCAGGTGAGTAGTACAGCTGCAGTGGTGGTAGCCAGAGCTTTGTAGGCCTGTCTGCCTCCCCTGGCCTCTTCTGTGTGCAGTCTCTAGCATAAAAACTTACTCAGTCCGCCAACCTGAATTATCACTTCAATGGTTCATTCTTGAACTTAAATCCTTTCTCTTTTGCAGGCTAACTGTACCCTTTAGCACTTTTCTCTCCCTCTTCCCTATTCTGCTACTGGGCCCTCAGAAATGGGCTGTGTAAAGAGATGCCAAGGGCTGAGTCTGACAAATAGGACTCATGTCCCCTACTCTACTTTTTTCCACCCAATCCTGATCTTACCCCCCTGCTCCCACCCTCACAAACATTCCTACACAGTATCTTTTGGAAGGAGTCAGGAAAGGCAGCTCCTATACATTGGTTTTTTTGTTTGTTTTTTTAACAGTACTGAATATTTAAAGAAAAGGGAATCTAGGTTTAAACTGTAGGAAGTCTTGTGTTTGGTGGTCAGGTAGAGGAATAGGTTGAAGCAGAACTAGGAAGGAAGTAATTAGGCATGTTCAGTCCTTTGACATTGTGGCATGATGTTGTCATTGTCAAAGTTCATACCCAGGAACCTCAAAATTGAGTTACAAAAAAATTTTAAAGTCTCAATGTTTTAAGGAAGTTACTATTTTGTGTTGGGTTTCATTCTCAGCTATCTTTGGCTGCATGTAGCCTGTGGATTAGACATACCTGGTAGATGTTTTCTTTAGAGTGTTTGGAGATAAAGAACAGATAATGAGGGTGGTAGCTGGGGTGAATAAGAGCCAAAGGGGGGGTTTTGTGTGTTTTTGTTTTTGAGACAGGGTTTCACATACTCCAAGCTGGCCTTGCTATGTGGTTAAGAATGATTTTGAACTTCTGGTCCTCCTGCATCCATCTCCTGAGTCTGGGATTGTATGGATGTACTAGTATGTACTACCACACCCAGCTTTGTGTGTTTCTTTGTAGAGGAAACAGTAGGGTATATTTATTTACAAGTATGAGAATAACTGTAAGGAAAGAGCAAGTGGAAATACAACAAGAAAAGGAGATCTAACCAAATGAGCAAAGTTCTAGAAACAGAAGAGAACAGAGTGGAGGGATTAACAGTTCTGATGGAAGACTAGTATTGGGAAAGAAGATGGGGACAGATGGAGGCAGGGACAGAAATTTGGTGGTGAGGAAGAATGAAGAAAGGCCCTTGCCTAGGCATAGGGTCTGGATCTCAGCAAGGCCTGAGTAGGCACTCAGACCTCTGGATCCAAAGCATCAATTGCTGCTTTTCTTCCCTTGCAGATGCTATGAAGCCTGCCATCTATAAGGTGAGTGAGGAACCTGTTCTCTTACTTGAGGCTCCATCTTCTAGAGCCTTATCATACAGATTCCACAGTGAGTTTTTCACCTCTGAAAAGTGCCCCCCCCCCACTTGCTGAATTAAAAACTGATTTTAGTTCTTGTTGCAAACAATACGGACCACTAACACTGTCTTTATCTCTTCTGACCATGTAGGTACAATGTTTGGCAACCCTTCAGGTGGGATCTGTGCAAGCTTCAGATCCCTCTGAGTGTGGTCAGTGCCTTAGCCTGGCCTGGATGCCTACCAGGCCCCACCACCACCTGGCTGCTGGATATTATAATGGTAAAAACAAAATAAAACATAAGCACCTGTTGCTCTTTAATCTTTTTTTGGTGGGGGGGTGTCTTTTTGAAACAGGGTCTGTAGCACCAGCTAGTCTGGAACTTACTATGTAGACCCACCTGCCACTGCCTCCCAAGCACTGGGATTAAAGGTATGTGCCACCACACCCGGCTCTTTAAATTTTATATATGCTTGGGTTTGGGTTGTTTCTTTTCCTTTTGGTTGAGCATGGCATATTATAGTTACAAATATTTAAGCAATGTAAAAATAAATCATTATCATTTTTCTACTTAGAAAATTATTAAGAGTAGGGGCTAGCAATAGAACTCAGTTGGTAAAATGCGTGCCTAGTAGTATGCTCTAAGCTCTGGGTTCAGTCTCCAATACTGTATCAGACATAATGGTACAATCCTGTAATCCCAGCATTTAGGAGGTGCAGGAAGGAGGATGAGAAGTTAAACATCAGGGGTATAGCTTAGTGATAGAGTATTTGACTGCAGAACTTCAAGGTTATCATGAAAATAGCAATTTGAGGGACTGGAGAGATGGTTCAGCAGTTCAGAGAACTGTCTGCTCTTGCAGAGGACTCATGTTCAGTTCCCAGCACCCGCATGGCACCTAGCAGCCATCTGTAACTCCAGTTCTAGGAGATCTGATGCTTTCTTCTGACCTCCTTGGGCATTGTACAACATGTACATACATGCAAGTAATATTCTCATACACATAAAAAATAAAAATAACTTTTTTTTTTTTTTTTGTCTTTTTGAGACAGGGTCTCCCTGTAGCTCCAGCTGTCCTGGAACTCACCATGTAGACCAGGCTGGCCTCGAACTCACAAAGATCCGCCTGCCTCTGCCTCCCAAGTGCTGGGATTAAAGGCGTGTGCCACCCTTTATAAAAATAACTTTTTTAAAAAAACAATTTGGGGTCAGCCTGGGCTACATAGGGAGCCCTTATTTTAGGAAAAAAAAAAAAAAAAAATGGAAGCTTGCACATGTGAACTGGTGGCAATGGTGGCATCAAGCACAGGACCCATGCCAACTCAGACGAGGGCCCAGAGTGGAATGAGAAATGGGTGATAGGTCAACCCTAGACTGGGAACTATTGGAGACTGATTACTACTGGGTGAGGGAGAGTATCCCTTACTTACTATTTCTAGATAAGCTGACTACTGGAGAGTGGATAAATTTGCACTGAAGGAAATCTGGGTACAATGCTTGATTGGATAGGACTTAACATGTATGACAGAATACATGAGATCTGGTTGGGGGTTGGGGGATCATGAATGAGGGAGGAGGATCTAAATTTGATTAAGAATTGTTGTATGAAATGTCCAAAAGCTCAATAAAAAGGTTTTTTTTAACCCAAAAATAAAAATAATTTTAAAATAGAAGCTTTAAATTAAAAAAAAAAAAAAAGAAAGAAAAGACATGAGGGGCTGGAGAGATAGCTCAGCAGTTAAGAACACTGGCTGTTCTTGCAGGAGACCCGGGTTGGAATCCCAGCATCCACATGGCAGCTAACAACTGTCCATTACTCCAGTTCCAGGAGATCTGATAGCCTCTTCTGTCCTCTACGGGCATTGCACGACATGGGTACACTTACCTACATGCAGGCAATGCACGTACACATAAAAGTAATAAAAATATTTTTAAAAAAGGACATGAACATAATTTAATGTAGTTCTCTATAAAGATTAAAAAAATAGTGAATATATGCTAGTAAAAACATGCCAATTAAGAGTGAGATTGAGGCATAAGCAAATGGCTCAGTCGTTGTCAAGTCTAATGACCTGAGTTCAATCCTTAAAACCCATACAGTAGAAAGAGAGAAGCATCTCCTACAGGTTGTCCTCTAACCTCCACATGCCCACTGTCATTAAAAAAAAAAAAACAAAACTGGAGGGCAGGTGAGCGTCTCAGTGGGTAAAAGTGTTTGCCACCAAACTTGACCACGTAAGTTCAATCCCCAGAACCCACATAGTAGAGAGAACTGACTCCTTCAAGTTGTCTTCTGACTTCCACACATCCTGGCTAGTTTGGGACTTGCTATGTAGACCAGGCTGGCCTCAGACTCACAGAGACCCTCTTGCTTCTGCCTCCTGAGTGCTAGGATCAAAGACATGCTCATCAAATGGTTCTAAAGAAAAGAATTAGATGTGCCTTTAATCTCAGTATTCAGGAAGCAGAGGCAAGTGGATCTTGAGACTGAGACCAGCTTGGTCTGCATGGCAAATTCTGGGCCAGCTGAGGCTACAGAGAGACCTTATCTCCAAAACAAAACCCACACCCTACACCCCACACCCCTTCAAAGAAAATGGAAAAAGAGCTAGTAAGTACCTAGCATTCACAAGGCGCTGGGTTCAATTCCCCCAGTTCCTCAAATAAATAGAAAATTTTAAATATACTTTCACTTATTTGGGGGGGGGGTTGGTACAAAGGTCAGAGAACAACTGACCTTTGGTGGTTCTTCCATCTTGTAGGCCCTCAGGGTCAAATTCAGGTCATCAGGATTAGCATAAGTGCCTTTACCTGCTAAGCCATCTTGCTGGCCCTATTTTTATTACTCTTAAGTGACAGTTTCTTTTTCCGAGAGCAGTAGACTTTTACGAATATTAGGAAATTAGCACTCTTATACTTCTTGTGTCCATTTTTTCTTTCTGGTAGCATTTTTCATTGTGAGGGTACATGCTGGTACTATATTGCTGTTGTGCCCCTTTCCCTGTCCTCTCAGTGCTGGTGACTGAATGTAGGGCCTTGCACATACTAGGCAGGAGCACTGCCACCGAGCTCTATCTCCAACCCCAACTCTGATGCCTTAGCATAAGTAATGAATGATTGAGTATCTGCCCAAGTCCTCTTAACTCGGTGTCCCTCCTCCATTGCTGAATTATTCTTATGACTTGCCTGTGTAATTCAGTGTGTAAGTTTTTTTGAGAAACATTTATAAATGCTACCCTCTCTTAAGGTGTACAAGTGGTTTTAGCTACAAAGTTTCCTAGCTATAGTTTTTAAGGTTTTTATTGTCTCTGTGCACGCGCGTGCGTGCGTGTGTGTGTGTGTGTGTGTGTGTGTGTGTGTGTGTTTGAGACAGCGTCTCTGTAGCCCCAACTGGCCAAGAGCTTGCTATGTAGACCAGGCTAAACTCGAACTTACAGAGATCTGCCTGCCTCTGCCTCCCAAGTGCTGGAATTAAAGGCATGTGCCACCACGTCTGGCTTTATCCTTTGTCTTTATCAAAGTTATATTTCCTATTTGTCCATTTGTTGTCTATTTTCCCTCTGCATTTTGTTGCTTTTGACTTTTTGCCTATTTTTTAAAATTTATTATTTTTATGTGTATGAGTGTACTGCCTGCATGTATGTAAATGCACCTGTGTCATGCAGTACCCGAGGAGGTCAGAAGAGGGTGTTGAATTCCCTGGAACTGAAGTTACAGATGGTTGTTAGCTGCCATGTATGTGCTGGGAACTGAAGCCTGGGTCCTCTGTAAGAGTAGCCAATACTCTTAACCACTGAGCCATCTCTCCAGCCCCTCTTTGCTTCTTCTTATAGAGCAGAAAATTTTCTGTAACAAACCAGATTGTGATACTTTTTAGGCTTTATGAGCTAATTGGCCATTATTGGTACTAAATTTTGCTATTATAATATATGGAATCATCCCTAGACATTGGGTAAATGGATGAGTGTGACTATGTTCCACTGTAGCTTTAACAAAACAGCTAGCCTAAGCTAGGCATTGTGGCTCACATCTGTAATACCAGCACATGAGAAGCAGAGGTAGGAGGACTGCTGTGACTGTGAAGCCAACCTAGACTGCATACTGAGACCCTGTCTCAAAAAAGTGGGGTGAGGCTGAGGATGTAGCTCAATGGTAGAGCACTTGTCTGGCATGCATGAGGCATGTGCACTCTGAAGAGCCAAAAACAAAAATGACAACAGGCTATATCTGAGCTGTGAGTTATAGTATGCCAGCTGATATCCTAGAGGGTTTTTGCTGCTTTTTTTTTTCCTTATTCTTTGTGTCAGTTTTGCTGTATATCCCAGATTGACCTCAAATTGGAGATCATCCTACCTCATCAAATAATAAGCATCATAATAAGCATTTGCCACTATGCTACCTGGATATATACTATTTTCAAATTCCTTTATTTTGAGGCTAAAGAGATGACTTGGAGGTTCAGAACATTTACTGTTCTTGCAGAGGACCCAAGTTTGGTTCCCAGCATCCACATCAGGCAGCTCACAAACACCTGTAATTCCAGTTCCAAGGGATCCAGTGCCCTCTTCTGGCCTCCGTGGGCACTTGCACTCACACATGTACACATCCACAGTCAGACAGACACACACATATATTAAAAATAAAATCGTTTTAAAAATATTTTTATGTGTATGAGTGTATTGCCTGCATGTATATGAGTGCACCTGTGTCGTGCAGTGCCATGGAAGTCAGAAGAGGGTTTCAGATTCCCTTGGAACTGGAGTTAAGGATGGTTCATAGCTGCCATGTGGGTGCTGGGAATTGAACACGGGTCCTCTACAAGAGCAGTCAGTGCTCTTAACCGCTGAGCCATCTCCTCCAGCCCTAAAAATAAAATCTCTATTTTATTTTATTTTTATTTTGTGTATGAGTACTTTGCCTGCTTTTTTTTTTTTTTTGGCCTTTTTGAGACAGGGTCTCCCTGTCTCAAAAAGGCCAAAAAGAGAAAAATCCCTTTACTTTTATTTAGTAGAGAGTAGTAACCATCAGGTATATTCAGCCTGAAACTGCAGATCCAGGATTGAGCTATTACTTTTTGGTTGCTGAGAATTGGAGCTAAACTGTTAGTTTGAGCATTTAAGCTGTGGAGGGAGTACTAAGCAGCTGATCATTCTTTCATTTAGTTTGGATTTGAGAGTCCTGGGATTCCAGAGAAAAAAAATGAAAACATGGAATTGAGAACCTGTCTTATATGCCTGCTCCTTCTATCCCTACTTTAGGAATGGTGGTTTTCTGGAACCTTCCCACTAACTCACCTCTCCAACGGATACGGCTCTCAGATGGCTCCTTAAAGCTCTACCCCTTTCAGTGTTTTCTAGCCCATGACCAGGCTGTACGTACAATTCAGTGGTGCAAAGCTAACAGGTACAGAATCAGAGGGCCGGGGAGGAAGACTGGAGGACTGTAGAAGGCTGACTAGTCACTTTCATATTTATTCTGATCTTGATCTATTTTTTTTCAGTCATTTCCTGGTCTCTGCAGGGAGTGACCGGAAAATCAAATTCTGGGATCTTCGACGACCTTATGAACCAATAAACTGTATCAAGCGCTTCTTGAGTACAGAACTATCCTGGCTGCTTCCCTACAATGGTGTCACCGTGGCTCAGGACAACTGCTATGCCTCGTACGGCAAGAGGAAGATAGGAGTTCTGGGGACAGGCCTGAAGGGTTGGGGTGCAAAGTGTGCCAAATTAATTGTTGCAGGGAAAGGAGGGTTCAGTTTGTTTGGTTAGATATTTTGAATTCTGTAAGAAATGAATCTACTCTTAGAAGAAGGAAGGTTTTATTTCATTTCCTTTTCTCATATAGCTATGGTCTCTGTGGAATTCATTATATTGATGCTGGTTACCTTGGTTTTAAAGCCTACTTCACTGCTCCTCGAAAAGGCACTGTCTGGGTGAGCCTCTCTCCTTTCCCCAATCTTCATTATGAAGGAGAATGTTCATTTGCTCACTGGGTAGTTAGGAACAGACTGTAATTTGGGTGCAAGGAGAAACAACTATATGCTAGCTTATCATTAGGGGCATGAGTTATGGTAAACTCATTTTTGTTTCTATGTGTGTCTTTCTTCCTCAACCTCAGACAACTCAGTCGTTACTATATAAATGAATAGGTGGGTGAATGAGTGAAATACATCTCTTCTATTAGAGTCTTTCAGGTTCTGACTGGCTCGGGACAGTAGCGGCAGGAGATATATCTGGGGAGCTCATTGCAGCTATATTGCCTGATATGGCGTCGAACCCAATCAATGTCAAGAAGCCTGCAGAAAGGAGATTTGTAAGTATATGAACATCTAGTGGCATCATCACCTGTAGCCCATAATCTGCTACCAGTTCTTGGTAGAGTGCAAATTTGTACTTGTTTTTCTAGCCCCAATTCTGTCTTTGGAAGTCATGACAAGGAATTGTGTATAATCTTTCCTATGCTCCTAGAACTGAGCAGATTTTTAAAAAATGCTTTATAGCCAGGTGTGGTGGCGCATGCCTTCAATCCCAGCACTTGGGAGGCAGAGGCAGGTGAATTCGAGGCCAGCTGGGGCTATGGGGAGACCCTGCCTCAAAAAGACCTATATAGATGATTGATGGGGAGACCCTGCCTCAAAAAGACCTATATAGATGATTGATTGATGGATGGATGGATGGATGGATGGATGGATGGATGAATGATGTGTTTTGAGTGTATTGCCTGCATGTATGTAAGTGCTCCTGTGTCATGTAGTACCTGTGGAGGTCAGAAGAGGGCAGCTGATCCTCTGGAACTGGAGTTAATAGATAACTCTTAGCTGCCAAGTGGGTGCTGGGAATCAAACCTGGGTCCACTGCAAGAGTAGCCAGTGCTGTTAATCACTGAGCCATCTCTCCAGCCTCCTTTTTAAAAGTTAAAACACTTTATTATGTTTTATTGATTTATTTGGGCGGGGGAGTAACACACAAGTCAGAGGAAAACTTGTAGGAGTTGGACAACATGCAGGAGTCAGTTTTCTCTCTGCCACGTGGGTTCTGGGGAATGACATTGAGTCTTTAGGCTTGGCTACATGTCTTTACCCACCAAGCTATCTTGCCATCCCCTAATTTTTATTGTTGTTGTACTTTTTTAAAATTATATTTATGGGGCTGGAGAGATGGCTGAGTGGTTAAGAACACTGGTTGTTCTTGCAGAAGACCCGGGTTCGGATCCCAGCACCCACATGGCAGCTAACAACTGTCCATAACTCCAGTTCCAGGGGATCTAATGGCCTCTTCTGTCTTCCGTGGGCATTGCATGACATGGGTGCACTTACCTACATGCAGGCAATACAGTCATACACATAAAATAAAAATAAAATATTAAAAATAAATTACATTTATTTTGCGTGTGATGGGGGAATGACGTGCATTCACTTTATCCATCAAGCCATCTCACTGGCCCCTGAGCATATATTTAGGCATAACTGCTTTCTTCCATTCTTAAAGACCTTCCTACAATAAATCAGTTTTCTTTCTGCTTTTGTGTTCAGTATTATAAAAACTAATCTTGGGCTTGAGAGACGCACATAAAGCCTGATGAGCTGAGTTTGATTCCCCGGGACCTACAAGGTAGAAGGGGGGAAACAATTCCTTCAAGTTATTCTCTGGGTTCTAATGTTTACCACAGCACTCCTCCATAGACAGATAAATAAGTATTAAATAAAAGCTGAGCATGGCACACGCCTTTAATCCCAGCACTTAGGAGGCAGAGGCAGTTGGATCTCTGTAAGATTGAGGCTAGCCTGGTCTACATAGGGAGTTCGGCCAGCTGGGGCTACTGGGAGACCCCGTCAAAAAACCAACTAATCTCATGGTCTCTTTTCTAGCCTATATATAAAGCAGATCTGATACCATACCAGGACAGTCCAGAAGATCAAGATTACTCTTCTGCTTCATCTGAGGCCCCCAATCCTCCCAAAGCTAGAACATACACTGAAACCATCAACCACCACTACTTGCTCTTTCAAGATACAGATTTGGTAAGTTGAGACTAGGAGTAAGTGTGGCATAGTAAAGGTAGAAAGTGTTGGTCCTTGTGTAACAGGAAATCCTAAGGAATTCCAACATAATGGTGCAGAGCTTTTTCCCTTGATTCCACTTCTGCTCCCCAGAGTTCCTTCCACAATCTGCTCCGTAGAGAACCAATGCTGCGCATGCAGGAAGGAGAGGGACATTCTCAGCTTTGCCTCGACAGGCTGCAGCTGGAGGCTATTCATAAGGTAAGAACCTTGTCCTGCACATCTTTCTCTCCTTCCATTTTCATTTTCCCTCAACTCTGGGCCTGTGACTGTGAAATGAGATATAAAGAGGCAACCGAGATGGCTAAGAAGGGAAAGCAGCTTTGAGAAAAGCCTCTGGATCACAGTATATGAACCTCATTCATTAGATCTCTCTTGTGGTCCAGGCTTCTGATTACGACCGGTTTTTGAAGCTCATGCAGGTAAGGTCACTCTGAAACACCACTCCTGAGCCTCTCTTTGGTTTTCTGTTCTCTTCACAGGTACGTTTCAGCCCAAACCTGGACTCCTACGGATGGCTGGTATCTGGGGGGCAGTCAGGGCTGGTTCGGATCCATTTTATCCGTGGACTCACCTCCCCGCTGGCCCATCGTGTGCAGCTTGAAAGCCGAGCCCACTTCAATGCTATGTTCCAACCATCCTTTCCAACTGAAGGGCCTGGTTTCTCTCCAGCCAGCCATTGCCTTCTGCCCAATCCCTAGTCTGGTCCAAACAGGACCCTTGGATTGAAGTCTACCAAGAACAAATGGTCCCCATGCATAGAGCATAGGAACTGGGCCCTTGGACAGTGATGGTGCCAGGCCTGGATCTTTAGGCCTACCTGCCCAGGACTCCTTAAATCCCTCTCCTTCCACAGACTTCTATGGTCACAGCCCCCTGCGGGTAGGGGGGCTCTCCCTCCACAATGATCCTCTGCCTAAAACCATGGCTCATAAGAAACACTCAGGCCTGACCTAGGCTTGGGAGTCAAATTGCTCATATTGAGCATATTGTGAAGGAGGTAAAGCTAAGTAAAGGTACTGGGTGTTTTTGAGACCACTTGTGAGTGGGTGTTTGGAGAATCGGAAAGGTATCTTCATGAAGGCTTCTGTATATTTCCAGGATACAATGTTATTGCCTTCCAAACTTCTCTTTAGAATAACCAACACACAGGCCCAATGGGGGTGACAGTAACTTATTGTACTGAAGCTGCTCATAATACTTCTTTAACTGAGGACCACCACAAACACCCTACCAGTAGAAGAACAGTGACTTAGCTATTGTTCCTGCTTGTGAAATATTCTCAATCATTGATCATTTGACCCCACTTGAACACTCATAGATAGTGGTGTTTTTAAAAACTTTAAAGCTGGTCATGGTGGTCCACACCTGTAATCCCAGCATTTGGGAGGCTGAGGCAGAAGGATCACAAGTTTGATTGCAGCCTGGGCTATATAGTGAGACTCTGTCTCATAAAACCAAAAAGAAAAAAAAATCTTCCTTTATATCACGTCAGAGTATACCTCTATTAATTTTACTAGTGGGTGTTAGGAAACCTAATCATTCTTCCCTGTGATTGCCCTTTTAAGTACTTAACAATAGCTATCATGTGTTTTCCAACTCATTTTTCTTCTAGATTAAATATCTTTAGTTATTTCAATCATTCTTTTACACGTCATGATTTTTTATCTTCATGATATGGTCACATTGTTGACTTATTAAACATGTTTAAACTGTATAGAAAATATTTAGAACCCAATAATGTATTGTTACCTTGATAGAGACCTCTTGTGGGAAGCTGCACCCTCACATTGACTATGATACTGCCTCACCAGCACAGGCAGACCCAGTGATGTGAAACCACCAGATCACGGCCTTGGAACATAATAATACAGGCTGAGGTTTGGAAGGAAGTAGATCATTTTAGGAAATAGAAAACAAATAGGCAGCCAGCTCCCTCTTTGTAAGGAATGCAGCCTACATTAACGTCTGCCTGAACAAAACTCGATTTTAGGGCACTCAAGACTAATCATGTATCTCGGAACAGCTTTCTACCTGAGTAGTATAAGTGATTTTTCAGAAAATCTTTGAGAATCAAGTAGTTCAGTCCCCTTCCTCTACAGAAGAAACAGACCTGTAGGAAACCAGGCCCTTTAGCAGCATAAGGACCACAACCCATGTTGGTGTGAAGGAGCCATGTGTTGTACCACTCTGATCCAGCTCAGGCTGTGTCAGGTTTGCTTTTTAAACTAATAAAGAAGTGCCTTCCATAACAGAGAAGCTTGGCTCATCCTGAAGAGCAACCCCTTGATATTTACTGTACAGCCACCTTTTTCCTACTTGCAGTGGTAGAAAAGATGGGGCCTGGGAGCTAATGGTTGAGATTATAGGTTGGTGCCAGCATGCTGGCCCTGCTCGCTGTTGAATCAGCCCTAATCTTGATCTTCAAAAGAAAATGTGGGCAGTGTTTCTGATCTTTTTCCTTCATGAAATCTTTTCCCCGGTCTGTTTATCTTCCTTTCTTCCCAGTCTATCATTTCATGCTCCATTGGTTCCTGCACTTTTCTACTGTGCGCCTTTGCTTAGGCTATTGTCTTCTCCAGCTGTCTTTTTCATCATCACCTAAATACTGTTCATCCTTCAAGACCCCCATCTCAGGGCTGGGAGCAGTAACTCAGTGATAGAGCATGTGCAAGGCACTGGCTTTAATTCCCACACATCGTAAAAATCTCAGTGCAGTTTCACTTTCAACAAGGAGCTTTCTAGATTTCTCCAGGGAAAAATATATATTCTTTGCGTACAATCTAAAGGAGAAGGCAGGGTAAAGAAACAATATTAAGCACTTATTTTGCATATTACCGAGTTCTATGAGGTAGGTATTGCTATTTTATGAAACGAAGATTAGATTGAGAGGTTAGGCATTCTGAATAAGTTCACACTACTACTAGTATTGACACAGGGATTTGAATCCATAGTCTTGGTTGAAGATACAACTTTCCAATCTACCACATTTGGCTTCCTATTACATTTACCAGTGTAAAGTCACTCCTTTAGCATGTACATAGAAAACTGAATGCTGAATCCTTACTCTCCCTCTAATAGCTGTGGCAGGATTCTTCCTGTGTTAATCTTATAGGAATTGAAAAATGAGCAGATGGGAGAGAAGCAAAGACTCTGTGCCTGGTGAATCTGTTAGGAATGTAGAAATTCCCACAGACCTAGAAAAGATAGATTCACTTTAGGGTGTTAGAACTGGAGGGAATAAGAGGCTCTCTAGTGTGCTGATTTTCAGACAGTTGTGTGCCTCTGCTTAAAATGGTTCTAGAAATAATGCTTTTTAAGAATCTTTTAAGTGTATGAGTATTGCCTGCATGTGTGTAAGTGCAGCCATGTTGTGCAATGTCTGTAGAGGTCAGAAGGAACTGGAGTTATGGATGGTTGTTAGCCACCATGTGAGTGCTGGGAACTGAACCCAGATCCTCTGCAAGAGCAGCCAGTGCTCTTAACTGCTGAGCCATTGCTGCAGCCCCAGAAGTACTTTTTTTTTTTTATTTTTATTTTTAAATCTTTGAGACAGGGTCTCCCTGTAGACCCAGCTGTCCTGGAACTCACTATGTAGACCAGGATGGGCTTGAATTCACAGAGGTCTGCCTGCCTATGCCTCCTGAGTGCTGGGATTAAAGGCATGCGCCACCATGCCCGGCCCAGAAGTACTTTTTTAAATAGAGGCATTAGAACTCTCCCATGGGCCTCCTCCATGCACAAATAAAACTGTAAGCCTATTTTATGGACAAGGAAACCAGTGATCACGAAGGTCGTGCAGCCTTTAGTTATGGAGTCAGTACCAGATGCCTGGGGTTCTGTAATGCCAATGTTTTTCATGGAAGTCGATTCCACGCAGCATCTCTTAAAGGGACATTGTGGGTAAAACACTGAACTATTTGATAAGAAGACCACAATAGGAACAAGTCCCAGTACCACCCACTCAGGAGCTTACAGTTGAGGCTAAAGGTGGGTGTGTTGGTGAACGCCTGTAGTCCCAGCGCTTGGGAGGCAGAGGCAGGTGTATCTCTTGTGAGTTCCAGGCCAGCTGGGGCTACAAGGAGAACCTGTTTCAAAAAGACCGAACACACACCCCTCTCTGCAGGTTTGGACTAAACTAGCACCTTTAGTTTCCAGACTGCTGTAATCGAGAAGGACGTCAGGACTGGCCAGCTCGGGGAGGGGGAACTGTGGGGACGATCCGGTTGACAACCTTGGGTGGAGAGAAGAGAAAAGGTACAGGGAGGCTGAGTCAGGTCCCACCCCGAGGCTTGCGCGGGAGACTGCGCAGACTGGGTCTCTAGCACCTTGGGTCACTTCCGCTCCTCAGCTACTGCAAGGGTCCACTGGACTGCCCGCAGGCGGGCGGAAGGGGCGGGACATGATACGGAAGTCCCGGGCTAGCTCCTTTCACGTGGGAGGGGCTGCTCTGTGAGTAGCTGGTGCTCAGGTGAGTGTGGGTTCTCTCTGGTCACTGCCCCAAAGCGCTGTGCGCCTTGAGCTCCTGCAAGGCATGTGTACGTTCCAGGTCCAGGTCATGCTTTATTTCCCGTGTGGAGTTGCACTCAGGAAGGATGCGGTTTAGTTCCAAGTGAGCCTGAATTTGGGCCCCGACCATGTTCACTTTTTGGAGACCCAGACTCTGGACAAAAGCTGGAGTAAGCCCATCTCGTTCCCCAGGTCGGGACTGGAGGTCTCCAAGCAGCCTTGCTTTAGAACCAGGATTGAGATGGCAGGTGGCAGTCACCAGACGTTCAGTAGTTGCCCACGCCCTTCTCCAGTTGTCCAAAGCAGCCATGTGATAGGACGCTGCCCAATAATCCTTTCTGAGACCTCTACCACTTATTGGAAGTGGGGAGAGTGAACACAGGGAAAGTCAGGCCTGTCTTTTCTCTGTGGAGTGGGGCAGTGGGAGTGACCCTTTCCTCTTGGTTTGACAGGAGGCATGGCACTCTGGCGGGCATACCAGAGAGCCCTGGCTGCTCATCCGTGGAAAGTCCAGGTTCTGACAGCTGGTGAGTGTCTATGGGACCAGAGTGGAATTAGAGTTGGCTGATTTGGGGAGAAAGAGGTTCGCATCATGATCCTCGTTACCTCTTTGTTTAGCCCCCTGGAAAAGCTGATTTTCTCACATCCCAAATTGTCTCGTTTTGGAGGGCTAGGTCTCAAAACTATTCTTAAGGGCTACGCAGTTGGTGTAGCTGTACATTAAGATTTGAAGGTCTTCAAAAAACCGTGACTACTAAGTGCATCATCCTTAAGTATACTAGCATTGATGCCATTCCCAAGGCAGAAACAGGCAGATCTCTGTGAGTTCAAGACCAGTGTGGTCTCCATATGTTCCAGATCAGCCAGGCCTATGTAGTGAGACCCTGTCTTAAAAACAAAAAGCATTGCCCCAAGAAGTCCCAGCTTGAAAAACTAAATGTTTTCTTCCTAACATTTTATAGTATGCCAAGCACTTTCATATACATACATTGTGCCATAGGGCCTCGAAAGGTCAGTGAGTTAGGATTGCTTGAGCCCACATTAGATCCCACACCCAACACTTGCGGAAGTCAGGACTTAAACTTTAGTTTATTTTTCTTAGTACTGTTTTTTGGGTTTGTTGTTGTTGTTGTTGTTGTTGTTTGTTTTTTTTTGTGAGGTACACCAGTTATATATCTGTAGTTTAAATAGTATTAAAACTGAGCACTTCTGAATCAGCACCCAGCTTTGGGACTCTTTGAACCCATCTCCCCAATTCATATATCCCAAGAGATTACTGCTTTTTTTGTTTAGTTTTTATCTTGAGACAAGAGTCTCACTCTATGACCCAGCCTAACCTGGAACTCACTGTCTAGCTCAGACTAGTCTTGAACTTGGAGCAGTCCTTCTACCTCAGCCTCCTGAATGTTGGGATTACAAGTGTGAGCCACCACAGCTAGCGAAGATGACCACTTTCCTGAGTTTTGCATACATCATTATTTCACTTTTTAAAAACAGTTTATTACCTATGTGTGTATCGGCAAGCAGTATACTAACCAGGGGCTTTTTACTTCACATCCAGTAATAGAGTAGTAGCTTATCACTCTAGGCATCTCCCTGCATCTATTACCACCTTCATTTTTCAGGTTAGTTAATGCAAGGGGATGGGACAAAGAGCATCAGCTGGCCTCTGATCATTAAAGTAGTAAAGAGGGTTATCAGGTTCTAAACATAGGTCTTGAGGCCGAAGAGATGGTTCAGTGGTTATGAGCACTGGTTGTTCCTGCAGAAGACCCAAGTTGGGTTCCCAGCACCCACATGGAGGCTAACAGCCATCAGTTCCAGTTCCAGGGGAATGACACCCTCCTCTGGCCTGTGTGGGCATTGCATGACATGGCTGCACTTATATACATACAGGCAACTTACATATACATAAAATAAATGAATAAATAAGTTTAAAAACCATAGGTCTTGTCTAGGTTTAGAGGTAGAATCCAGTATTCTAATGAGGACTATGGACTTCTGAAAAGAAAGGGGGAGGCTACTGAAAGCCATGGTAGAACAGCAATCCTGTTACCAGAATAGCTCTACATCAGCACTAGGAACTTCGCTGCATGACTGGCCAGGAGGTGAACCCTTTCGCCCCTCCCTAGTCCCCCACTAGCCTCCTGTGCCCATCCACCTCTTGTCCTTAAAGTGTCCAGCCTGCATGACTCACCTGGCTGCGTGTGTGGTGACTCACGCTGGACTGTGTGCCTGTGATGGGAACTGACACGCTGGGCCCTTTGCCCAGCCTCAGATTCCCTCAGGGCCCCTAACTGCCAGATGGAAGTTTCCCCTTGTGGCTGTCAAGAATGGAGAGGGAAGTATAGTCTTTCTTTGTTGTTTGGTTTGGTTTGGTTTGGTTTTTGAGACAAGGTTTCATTATGTAGTCCTGGCTGGCCTGGAACTTGTTGTGTAGATCAAGCTGGGCTTGAACTCACAAATATCCACATGCCTCTGCCTCCCAAGTGCTGGGATTAAAGGCATACACCACTACATCCAGCTAGGAATGATAGTCTTTATGTCCCTTCCTAAGAGAGCCATAGTTGACAAAGGCAGGAACTTATGGTCCAAGGGACCATAAGCAGAAATGAGCAGAAATGTGGCTCAGTGGGGGTTCTGGTTTCTCTGTGCTAGGATGCTCATAGAGCTTCATATGCACTCTTCCTGAAATTATCATTTGGTCCTGAATCAACCTGTTTCCCCCTAGCATTTTTCTCAGACTTTCCTTCCTTGCTTCTCAGGGTATTTGGACCAACCTACAAAAAAAGGGGGAAGTGGATTTAGCTCATTGAGCCATTTTTGGACCCTAGCACAGTGGCTCTTTAGGTCCCATGGGATAGCTCACACTGGAAAGCAGAACAGAGATTTCAGACTTGGAATTAGCAGACCAAGATTTAAATCTTGGAGCATAGCACTTAGTAGCTGCCTGATTAGTCCACATCAATAAACCTCTTTGGGCCTCAGTTTCCTCATTTAGAATTTAAAAGGTCAGTTACAGGAATTACCTCTATGAAGAAGCTTTGGAAATTTTATTTATCATTCATGATACTTTTTATCACATTTTTTTACATTTATTTATGTATGTGTGTGTGTGTGTGTGTGTGTGTGTCCCATTTCACAGCAGTGTGTGTGTGTGTGTGTGTGTGTGTGTGTGTGTGTGTGTGTCCCATTTCACAGTACATATATGGAGATGAGAGGACAACTTGTGGAGATTAGTTCTCTTCCACCATGTGAGCCCTGGCAATTAACTCAGGTTTTAAGACTTGGTGGCAAGAACCTTTACCCCCTAAGCCATCTCTCCAGCCTGTGTACTTTATTTTGAGACAGATGGGCCTTGAACTCACTCTGTAGCCCAACTGATCTTGAATTTGCAGTCTTCATGCCTCAACCTCTCAGATAGATAGGATTACAGGTCTGCACCACTGGCAGGTGGATCTCTGTGAATTTGAGGCCAGCCTGGTCTAAGTGAGTTCCAGGTCAGCTGGGGCTACAGGGAGACCCTGTCTCAAATGCTCACACACACACACACACATATATATATATAATTTTTTATTTTGTATATATGAGTGTATTGCCTGCATGTATGTAAGTGCACCCATGTCGTGCAGTGCCTATGGAGGACAAAAGAGGGCATTGGATCCCCTGGAACTGGGGTTACAAACAGTTGTTAGCCAACATGTGGGTGCTGGGAGTCAAACCTTGGTCTTCTGCAAGAAGCCAGTGCTCTTAACCACTGAGCCATCTTTCCAGTCCCTGGATTTTTTTTTTTTAAAGCAAGGTCTCAAGTAGCCCAGGCTAACCTTCAACTTACTGTGTAGCCAAGGATGACCTTGAACTTTTTAAAAATTGGTTTTAGTTTTTTCAAATAAATTGTTTATTGGGCTGGAGAGATGGTTCAGTGGTTAAGAGCACTGACTGCTCTTGCAGAGGACCCAGGTTCAATTCCCAGCACCCACATGGCAGCTACGAACCATCCTTAACTCCAATTCCACCGGAATCCGAAGCCCTCTTCTGACCTCTGCGACATTGCACAACATGGGTGCACTCACATACATGCAGGCAAAATACTCATAAAATTAAAATAATAAATAAAATATTTTTTAAAATATATTAAAAAATAATTTATTGATATGAAGTTTTATCTCTGAAGAGATTCTAGAACAGTGAGGCTTAAACTCACTAATTTTCAGTCTGACAGATGTGAACCCTACCCTCTTCGGTCTTATTAGTGTGAGAACATCATAGGAGAACATGCTTATTTGATTGTATCTGCCAAAGGAACATGTGAAATTATTTTTTAGCAGTCTCTAAAACTATCTCAGGCTCATTATAAGGGAGTCGATTTTCAGTAAGAAGTTCTTGGATTTGACTCTGT